TATTAGTTTTAAATTTTTACCTTGAAATCTTGCCTAAAATCAAACGGCGAACCCTAGGTGTGCCCAGACCGGACTCACCGATAATCTAGGACAACTGAGAGTCTGCATTCTTTGTTTCTCCGCATCTCATCGGTCAGTTCATTGACAACAATGCTCGTTTCAGCATTACTTTTCGAAGCTCTATTCAGTCAGTGTGCCCACAGAATTAAACGATAAGTGCTATCTTCACAAAAATTTACTTGTGTACTCCTTCAGGCCTAATTTTTAAATCAAAACTCCAACTTTAAAAGGTAGCGTGCCGGAAAGGGTTAAGAAACTCAAAGATTTCAAAGCGAGCAATGGCAAAACTGCATGGGGAAAAAATTAATCTCCAGCGCATGAGATTGTGTATCGGAAATTCTAAAGAGATGTTCTTTTTAAATTATTTTGTGATATTGCTTTTGAATTGAATTTTAAAGCCATAAGTGCGAAGCCTTTAAGCCTTTAAGTGCGAAGAACATGATATTTAATAAATACAGGTAACACACAAAATGTTAAAAAAGCCCATTCATTCATTGGTTTTGCAATTGCATCATTTTAGTGATTAATTTGGATGAATTTTCAATTTACAAAATGTACAATATAATACTTCGTATATGTATTGTACATTTTTTTGTAAATTGAAATGTATAATGTACAATATACTCTTCTTATCTGGTTGAGTAATCAGATACGAAAAAAATCTTACAGTAAATCTTCAGCCACGAAGATTTTTGCGAAATAAAAGTTCTTGGCAAGATTAGGCTCTTCTCAACGATGACCTCACTTACTTAAAATAAGTAACAGAAAAATATCACAAATGCAGCAGTTGCTTTTGATCAGGTCAGAAGTCGGTGATATTTTTTAAATTTATACGAAAGTTGATTACAAATTTATTTTTTAAAATTTTTTATTAAGGAAAATGTTTTCACTTACCTTTTCTTCAAAAGGTTCTAATATGGGCCAAGCTTGCCTAGAAAACTGTGAACGAACCGTGTTTGAAATTTACATTGAAGAAAACACTTTTATTTCAAAGAAATCTTACACGTCGAACACAAAAAGCACAATTACAGAACACAGCATATCTACACAAAAACAGACGATCACGAAAGAATTACAGTCGACGTCTTACATTATTTTTTTAATCTGAAATTTTGTTGCCAATTTTAATAACATAATAAAACATAACATTTCTTGTCGCGTGCCATCTGGTGAAAAAAGAATAGTGTATTTTTTTCTTCGGAGGCCATTTTTGACAGACATAACACAAGAGCAAATTTTTAGTACTGTGACCTTGGTTCTCTAAATTACACTATTTCTGTGCGACTGCTCCGTGAATTTTGGCTGGTTTTTCCATGGACAATATTTATCAGGTATTTACACTATTCAATATTATATTAGTTTTCGTCCTTAAAGTTAGACAGACAGTCAGACTTCCTTATAGTCGACGCTTTTACATCAGCATCTCTTTGCTATAATAATATATTTAGATAATAAAGTCACGGAAATATACATTTCTTAAAAGCATTCTCATTATGCAATAGCATTTTTGTAGCCTTAGGAGATCAGTTCACTTAGAGCACAATATAAACTAAGCAACGCTTAGTATGCTTAGTAAGAATATATATTATAATAATTAAAGTAAAATTTGCTATCACTTAACTTTTGCTTGCGAGAACAACGTGTAGTTGATTTTTACGAAATAAGCAGCCTGTATTTGAAGACGTCTTGATTCATGCAGATCGAATTGTTTGTTTATACACAGTGCTAAGGTGCTTCGCATTGTTAAAATCCTATATAGTGGGAATTTAGTGAATAGAAAGCAAGAATAAGAAAACTGCAGAAAAATACAGCTAAATTTGGCAATATATTTGTCTTTTTTGTAAAGTAACATTTTAGATATCTGATTTTATTATAGGAAGTTCTTATTAAAATAAAACGAAACGATGGCGAGAAATCCAACATTGGGAAGTTAAAATATTCCTTAGACATACTATTTTTACTTAACGTGAGAGAAGATACAAATAATATCAAACCTAGATGCTAGGTACTGTCAAACACCGCGTTGCTCTTAAATATTTTAACATAAATTAAATCTTATAATTTGTTTATTTTCACATATCTGAAATTTTTAACATCATATGCAGATAAGTAACATACTAATCTGATGTTAAAATAAAGAAACAATTTAGCCTTAAACTGGCCATTGTTTTATAGAAAAACGCTCGGCATTTCGAGAGAGAGAGCCATTTTGTAAAAGACGGTTCCTGTACTGGATTCCCTGAAAATATATAGAAGTTTTCTATAAAATCAACGTAAACCTAGAGTCAAATTTTAAGCCTTGTATTGTTTAAAATGATACTGACATATAGAACACTTAAAAAATCCGATGTGTACAGTACATGACTTCCTTGTACGGAATATTAAATTATACGCATTTTTTCTTGCATTTCGTTTAAACTTATTGGATTTAATTAAATCTACTTCGGCGACAGCGCATAAACCACAATAGAATAAATGCATTATTTAAAATTCGCTCTATTTGTTTACCATAGCGACACTCTGGCGCTAGGTTCACTTAACAGTATTATATTTCGTTCATATTATAACTCAGAATGCACAAAATTTATATCATTTAAAGAATAGAATTATCTAATCTTTGCCACATGTTCTATTCAAACACTATAATGAAGCTAGAACAATGTATAAAAGAAATTAAGCAAACAAAACAAAACAAAAAAACAGTTTTTCACAGACAATTGAGTATTTCTCATTCAATTAATTCAGTTCTCACTTGGCGACAAGGCAAAAATACATAAAAACTCAAAATATCCGTATTAAAAATTACTAATTATGAAAAATTAAATTAATAATTATTTAAAATTAAATTATTAAAAATTAAGTAAATCTTAAACACTTATTTCCTCGAAAAAATTCCAGAAAGGATTAAGCATGATTTAATTCGCAATAATAAATGAAGGCGTTATCTTTGTTGTTGCGAAGCTACGTTTCTCTAGATTGGCAACAAATTCACTACTCTGCTGTTTCAAATGTAAACGAGCAATGGCCGCCATCAAAAAAAAATTATTAGGCTTAGCGGCACTTAAATAACTTTAAAATTGTTGATAATTTTAAAAATATTGCATACAGATTTACTAAAGGCATAAAAACCTTAACCGGAAGATAAGAACAACATAATTCAATCATTTTTAAAGCCAAAAATGTACAATTTACAAACATATAAGAGTAAAGAAACTGAGATCACTGAGCGGGGGGGGTAACAGAGTGAATATATATATAAATACATTTATATACGTTTGGCGGGGCCGATTGCAACCAACGACGTGCACATCTATATGTTATAGTAGTCCTATATACAAAATTTCAACGTTCTGAGGCTACTCGTTTTTGAGTTATGCGAGATACGTTCGTACGTAGGTACGTACATACGTACATACGCTCGTACAGACGCCACGCAAAATTCTCTTCAGAATTCATTTTAAAGTAGTTTTATAATTTTTTTGGAGGAAGAGTCTTTTATTCTGTCCGTACGTACAAATATCACGCTATAACATCGTTAAATTGCATTCGAAAGCGGTCAAAATGGATATTGTCGTTGAAATATGCTGCCTGAAACTTTTCGCGATTACATTACTTCCTTTTTACTTCGTACAAGGAACTAAAAATGGTAAACAATGAAAAGGGAAAGGCTATAAAACATTTGCAGTTTTGCATTGACGTTACTGTTATAAAAATAGTTTGTTTTTTTAACTGTCTTTCATAGACCCGCAATAAAGGAAAAAATAAACAATTTCATCCTTTGAATTATAAAGCAATAAAAGCATTTGTTTTGAAAAATAAAGCAACAAAAGCATCCATTTAATGTAAAGCATTAGTTTAAGTTTTTATTTAAAATTTCACTGTCAAAAGATCCTCCATAATTAAAATGCTTCCTTGAGCCGATCCACTATTGAAACTTTTCTTGGAAATGGAAAAGACGTAATTTTTATGCTTGCTTAAAGCGCCATCCAGAAAACAAACAAAAAACTAATAAAATAAAATCTGAAAGTTTTCATATTTACGCACATATAAATACGCCCATATAAATTTCGAGATTAACGTATATAAATTTCATGTAACATATATAAATTTCGAACACATAAATTTCGAGAGAATTTCGACTAGCTCCACTTTGGACTAAAAATTTTTAAAAACAGCATATCTTTAGAGTTGCTGATAAACAGCCTCGCGAGCTGGAGATAAAAGTGTTTTATTCCCTACAGTGTTGCCACTGCTCGCTTTGAAACTATTGACTTTTTAATCAAAAATTCGTTGAAGTTTTACAACATATAAAACGGACAATAAAACAAATTCCAAATTTAGGTTTCCAAGCGCCCAGATTGGGGTGGAGGGCTATGTTATTCAGAATTTGTTGACTCTAGGTATCATTGCTTTTTCAGCATGCCAGAAACTTAGATACAAGATTCTTCAATATTTAGCTTCTTTAAATATAATGCAGGTTGATAATATTTGGCTGTAACAATTTGAAAAGTAATACAGCCATTTAGAGTGATTCAACACAAAATGCCGTTTCGAGACTCATAGCACTTTTAGGCTAACGTCCATTTGGACCAACAGAAGATTCGAAGTTATTTCCAAGAAATAGAAGAAAAGCAGGGAGACCGAAGAAGTAGTTTCTTTCAACAAAAAGTTAATAAACATCTTTTATCAAGATAATTGAAATTAAGAACCAGAAAAAAGCTAACCCGTTATCGCATCCTATAAAGCCAGTTATTAAATATATACTGTATAAAAAAAAGTGCGTAGAATAAACCTTAATGAAATGTTTCCATCAACTACTCTCTTGACTTATCATCATTCTTTCTTCGTTTTCAGTTAGGAAATCGGTTTTTTTTATTTTGTTTTGTAATTTTCTCTCTACGGAACTTATATAAGTAATTCAGTCGATATCCGATGACAGAAAATACTCACGAAAATGAGGACACTGAGTTTTGGAATTCTCACTATCGTCTGTGTGCTCGCATCTGCAGGTGACGCTTTTGTATTTTTGAAATTCGTAAAGTAGTTCATTCTTTCTTACTTACTGCTCAAAGAGAAAAAATATGAAAATAGTTTAAGCTGCCGGATAAATCTCATGTTTTTATATTATTGTGCTGTTATTTTAGGTATTATATTTATGTCGTATACATACTGGCACTTGAAATGTTTTTAGCTTTGAAGATGTTGTTTCAAACTCGTAGACGTTTTAAAAATGTTCCGCCTTTTTGCATAATCTGAATCATAGTATTTAAAGACTCTTTAAAAAGAAAATGAATTTTACAATCAAACTTATACTAAAATCGTGATATTATAAAAGTAAATTAATAAAGATTTTTGAAATTTTTATTTAATGGCTTTCAATAAAATTTAATTTCTAAAACAGAAAAAAAAATATTACTGCATAATATTCACTTATAAGATAATTATCTAAGAAACTGATATACTTATAAGTGATTTCGTTTTTTCAAGAACAGAAAGTATTAGTGATTAAAATCAAAAGCAATGTTTTAACATTTGAAGTACCATATTATTCCGGCATATATAATTTCAAACTACATTTATTAATTCACCTATAATTTCAAACTACATTTATTAATTTTTGTATATATTCTTATTATAGTACGCACCCTTTCCTTTACGAAGACTCATGAAAGATACATGACGATGCTCTTATCTTCTGAAGTCATTGATTCGAAAAATTTTCCCAGGTGATTGGACAATGGCATACTGGACTGACAAGCGAAAAGGGGAACAACACGCGTGTGGGGACGAATGCTTCACGGAGTAAATATTTCAGAAAAGAGAGTGGGTTGTATTAAATGCAGATATGCACAAGAATCTTATTCTAGGGTTTCTAGAAAAAGGGGTTAGAATTTTGGGTAAGAATGCACTTCCGACCCAAAAGAATTCGCGGAATCAGGAGTCGGATGTTTTATCTTTTTGTCGTGACTTCAAGCCGTGATTTTGAAGTGAATATAGAAAGAAATAGAAATTGTGCTGCAGCAAAGATGTAAAGTGTTGGTGAAAGATAGAACACATGAGAATTATTTATTTATGAATCAGAATAATAATTACAGTGAAGATTAAACAGAATTCGATAGTATGTGTGAAGACATAACGGACGAACTTTTCATATTATCCGATAATGAAAACTTTTAAGTTCATAGGATACACTGCGGAAAAAAAAAGGGACAGTTCAATTTCAATACTAACAAATTAATAAATTGGAATTCCAACATATCCAAAAAAAGTAATTAACAATACAATAATAAATCAAATTCAACGAATTAAAAATATCTGCACAGATACAATAGATCTACATTGCGAAATTTTGCTCCTTATTAAAATTCTCAAAAATAATCTAATACCCAATCAATTTATTAATCATTGCCTTAAAAGAACAGGCGTTAAATACTCACTCTAAATAACTTAACTGATAGGGATATGATAATTTGTTCCTAAACCTGAGAAGACGGTATAAGTTGAATGACTATAAGTTGAAGGATTTGTATATAGTGTAATTACTCAGCTGTATATAATGTACAAAGCTAATCGTCTTCAAACTTATGCTGTCACTAAAAAAATGGGCCTATTTCATAATCTTTAGTTTGTCAAATAGCTCTTTGACAGTGAAAATTCCTTTTTGCCTTTCTTAAATTCTTAATCGTTTCGACACACGAAAATTAGCCAGAAATTAATTAATTTCCATTCACTAGTATTTTCAAAAAAATTTTAACAGACGGTTTCACTGAAATAAGAACTCCACAGAATACATCCCTCAAGAATTCCTAGTCCCACCCACTACCATAAATTACTTCACACAAGTCTTACCGACTGATATTATTCAAAGCCCCCGCTGCCGCTAAAGAATTTTCGATGCTTTTTCTGGCCTTTATATCTTCATGTACATTCACTTTTCTTATTATATTTTTTTTTATTTTTGATTAGTTTTTACAAAGTTTGCGTTATTTTTCTTATATTTTGTAGTTTTCTAATGTTTTAAATTCTATTTCATAATGACAATCCCAATGTTTAATTTTTACAAATAATATTGAACTCAAATGCATAAACACGAGGGTGTCGGGGGACGGTTACTCGAGCATTATCAAATTTTACTGCAGAAATTGCTTTTCACTCAAAATTGAATTAGCTAAAATGCTTAATTGGAATGAGTTCTTTGGATATCAGCTTTGGTTCATAATCCCTTCTATTCACGGAAATATTTGGCCCGACTTGAATTGCCGGTTTGGCTTCGCCTTAGTGCTCGAGTAAAGGACGAAACACCTTCCTATTTATTTCTTAATTATTGTTCATTGAACGGGAGTTGGTTTGTTCCCCTTGAAAAGTCAACTAATTTCCGATCAATGACAATGATTACATGCATTTAATTAATTCTTGCCTTTAATTATTCCTTTTACAATTGAAATTTTATTCTTCATTCGATGATTCAACTTCCAGTCCCCGTTAAAACATTTTTAACATTTACATTTCAAGTTACTTCAAACACATCTTTCAAAATAGAACTTACTAAGTATGGATTCACTCTTTTAAGCTAATTCTACTATTATTAAACTTAGGAGATAATATAATCAATATTATTTAGTAAATAAATTATTGTTAACTTACTTTGCAGCAATTGCGCAAGTAGTAGAATAACTTGTTTTCGCACTAAATGAATTTAAGATCATACAACATATATTAGAACAATGCTATATATAAATCTGATATATATCCTAAGTCGCGCTTTCGAGACATGTAAAGCGCAAGTTGAATTTCGTCAATCGGCCCATTAGAACGGGAGCTATAGAACTGCCTCTCCCCTTTTTTCCCGCATTGTAAGTCATTTCTTTTAAATAAACAGCATTCAGCTGCATGTAAAAATCTAATTTTTATAGACTGGTTTTTCCCTTATTTTTATTCCAACATTTTTATATCTGGCTTATAACGCGCATCTGTGAATTTCGGTTCTTATTTTTTCTATTTAAAATAGGCTTTATGTAGGACTATACGGTTTTCCATAAACACCCATAAAAATGAAAAAATATCAAATTCTTTATATTAGCTGACGTAAAAAGAATTAGTCTATACTAATGATATCTAATAAATGATATCAGAAATATGTTTGGTTACTGGTGATGAAAAGGTTTATAGGATGTATCTATTATATTTTATGCCATTAAATTCTAAAACGTGCCCTTTTATATCCAAATTGTGTCAATCAAAGAAAGTAAAAAATAATAAATTATTAAAAAGTAAGAATTTTGTTTTTAAATTGTTGGATTTATTATGTAATATACAGCTTTAATATGAAGTTATGTATTTAAGGCCGATTAAAAATGCAGCAGCTTTAAAATTTTACCATTTGACTGGTCACCTCGATAAAGAAGAGTGTAATATAGTATCCATGTGTGTATGTATGTGTGCTACGTGTATGTCGCTCAGAGCAAAGACAGAGGAATGTAGAGGTGTGAAATTAGGCTCATGTATTGTCTGGACAGCGAAGGTGTGTACCTCCAATCTTTTCCTTCAAAATTCAATTTAGGCCTTTTTTTAATATTAAAACGATTTTTTTCTCAAATTGTCCTGCGTATTTTTGGTATGGAACAAACTGATAGTCTCACATTTTCACTATTTGCATCTCCCAATGCAGTTAAAAGAAAATTTGTTTTAATGAATTTTTTATTTTATTTTATTTATTTATTTATTTATTTGGAATGACTAACATAACTTCTGAATCTGGGATAATTTTTCGATAATGGTTTGATTTTTTTTCAGATCAATTATAGTTTCAACACATAAAAATGCATCTCTTACAGAGCAAACTCTTCGCTTTACTTTAAAACAAAAATAACCAAAATACATGAATTATACGATTTCCTGCATTTTTTACTTTTTTGTACGAAGAAAGGAAGTACTGTAATCGCGAAAAATTTCGAGTTTCATATTTCAACGAAAATATCCATTTTTTGCATGACATCTATATACGGGCTCAATAAAGGACTATTTTTTCTAAAATGGAATTTAAAATGGATTCAAAAAGGATTATTGTCGTGATTTAAAAGCGAGCAATAGCAAAACTCTACGGAGAGAAAAAAAAAAAAAAAAAAAAAAAAAAAAACACCTTTTTATCTACAGCGCGCGGAACTGTGTATCTGAAATTCTAAAGATATATTCATTTTAAAATTATTTTGTCACATTGCTATTGAACAGAATGTTATGGTTTAAGTGCAAAGAACATGATTTTTAATAAATAAAAGTAACACACAAAATGTTAAAAAAAAAACGCCTCTTTCCACGTAATTTAAAATCTGAAACCTTTCATATTTTTTTAATGTCTTTAGTTAATTTGTATGTAATAGTTGTAGAATTAACAACAATTTGAAAAGTGGAGCTAAGACTAATGTTGAGGGAATTGTTTACATATATGAAATCCTTAGTAATACAGGGACTTGATTCAGGAGGAGCACCAACTTCAGTGTCACTCTGCCCAGTGGGGCGAAACGTGTACTTTAAATTTGTTGCATCCAAATTATTGTCTTCTTGCCCTTTGGCCAACTTGCTTGTTTTGGCGTAAAAATTCTAACTTTATTTGCAAAATATTTTTTAATTGTTTTTAACTGGTGTTTTAGTTTTTCTGTATTTTATAATTTTTAACAAAGATGCTTTGAATTTTTATGTATTTTTGAATGCCGCGGAGAGAGAATTGAACTGAACAAACGAGGAATTATCTCTAATGAAATTCGACGAAACAGGTTTAAATGAAGTGCAGCAAAAAATATTATATGTAATTCAATAAGCCGTACATTCGGTATCTACATCAGATTTTTTTTCATAATAGTATATCGTGAAAAAATTTCTTCGCTTCGAGACTTCAACCGCTGTCGCCGAGGAAACGCAGATATATGATTCGACGCAAAAAAGTCATGTGAGTGAAACGGTAATTAAAATGACTCTACGTTCGTTTCTTTCACGGTGTTGTGGGCGTGACAGG